AAGTATAGTTGATTTACAATGTTGTGTTAATTTCTGCTGTACAGCAAAGTGATTCAGTTATATATACACATTCTTGTTTTATGTATATTCTTTTCCATTATGGTTTGTCACGAGATATTGAATAGAGTTCACTGTGCTGTACAGTAGGACCTTGTTGTCTATCCATTCTATATATAATAGTTTGCACTGCTAACCCCAACTTCCCACTCCATCCCTCCCCCCCCCTCCCCCTTGGCAAGCACAAGTCTGTTCTCTATGTCTGTGAGTCCATTTCTATTTCATAGATAAGTTCATTTGTGATTTCTTCCTGTCGTCCCACCTGTCATGTCTGCAGATTGAAGAGTCCTAAGTCTGATGAGGCATGCTCATAATCATCTTTTTTTAAAATTTTCCCTTCAGATCTTACCTTTATCTAAACTATCCTGTAAGAAGCTTACAAAGGCCAAAACCATACAGTATTCTAGGGACAAACATAAGCTTCCTACCATTATACAAATGAAGGGTAATATATTTTTGTCTAATTTTCAAAATTTTTCCAGTGATGATCATGATTTTGTTGGCTTTTGAAGTAAAAGCAATAGATCAAATCAGAGTCTTTACAATGACCACTCAGTCTCTTTTTCATAAACAAGAGCTCAAAGCCCAGTGCAGTTTCCCCTGCCAAGTGTCTCTTCTCTTAATTGTGATCATGGCCACCTACCACTCTCTGCAAGGGTTTCTTCCAACCCTGGTTACCCTGGTCCTGTTCAACAAGTTATGGTGTATCTGGAAGAAAAAAAAAAAAAAAACTAGAAACAACTGATTCTCTTTTTGTTTTCCCTAAATTAGTCATTTTCCATTTTGCCATCTAATTTCCACTGTCAAGGTTTAATAATTATTATTATACTTGTAGAGTGCTAGATTTATATGAGGCACTGTTCTAAGTGATTCTCATTATATACATATACTCATTTAATCCTCACAAAATCCCTATGACATCCATATCAATATTATCCCTGTTTTACAAATGAAGAAACTTGAGGCACAGGGAAATTGAGTTGTTTGTCAATAACACGTATTCCAAAACTGATATATGACAGAGTAGATATTTGAACCTATGCAATCTGACTCTAACGTACAGCCGGTGTTCGGTGGAGAAGGAGGGATAGAGAAAAGACAAAGAGTTTTATCTGAGCCCGTCCACTATTAGCAGAGACTCTGGGTGAATTTGCTGAGTCTCAGTTTTGACATCTGTACTGTGAAGATAGTAATAGATACCTCACGGTTTGTTGAGAGTAATAAATATAACCATGCATGTAAAATATCTGGATGATGGAAAGTGCTTAACAAATGTCATTTCTCTCTTGCCTCCACCCGGTTAGTTCTGTCTTTAGGTTATCACAACCATTTGAAAGCTACTGTTAGAAACCATACAGTTTATTTCCCAGCCCTGTCCTGTACCAACTGTATGAACTGTAGCCCCCATTTCCTTTACTTTAACCTGGTAATCATAAAACCCATTGTAAGATTAAATGAGATCATGTTCGAAAGGCAATTAACACAGTGCCTGGCATATGGTAAATGCTCAGTAAATGATAGCAGCTATAATGATGGTGATGATAAGCAACAGGAGGGGATTAGTAAGAATTATGGTGATGATATTTCCAGCTCAATTCTCTCTCTTCACAAAAAAAAAAAAAAACAAAAAAAAACAAACCTGCCATCTGCCCTCCAGGACTATAAGAAATAGAAAAGCTTGACTCTGTTACTTCCTTGAGGTAGAGAAATTACTTGAGTCCCCAGAGACTATCCTCAAGCACAACTGTCTCAACCTTCTAGTGCCTAAAATCATTTGGGACATTTATTAAAATTTCAGATAGCAGGGAGCCACCCAGTAATTCTGGTCAATAGGAAAGTCACGGGGTCCCAAGACCCAGAGATCTACACTTTGAACCAGCTCTCAAGTGACTTTGAGTTGGTAGCCCTGGGATCACACTAAAAAACACCATCCTGGGGGCTTCCCTGGTGGCGCAGTGGTTGAGAGTCCGCCTGCCAATGCAGGGGACACGGGTTCGTGCCCTGGTCCGGGAAGATCCCACATGCCACGGAGCGGCTGGGCCCGTGAGCCATGGCCGCTGAGCCTGCGCGTCCGGAGCCTGTGTTCCGCAACGGGAGAGGCCACAACAGTGAGAGGCCCGCGTACCGCAAAAAAGTAAATAAAACAAAAAAAACACCATCTTGGGATTAAATCAGCATATTTATTGCCTTGAACCAAGATTATTTCTAAGAATCTAAGTGAAATTTTTAATGAGATTTAAGATTGGTTGTTACTTTAAGGGGATTATTTATTGGGAAATATTTATCACTGGTTGCCAACTCAAAGTATTTGTTCAAATATCTCACAGTTTTATTCTTGAGAATAAAATAAATAACAAGACACTCCTTTGATAAATATATATATGTACATATATATATATATACACATAGATTGCTATATATACATATGTAAGCATCGATGTCAGCAGTTTGAAATACCCTTAAAGGAACTTGCAGTCTACTTTCACAATCTCATACAGCCTAGTCATAAATTTCAGTCCCTGCTAGTCAGATGGTGTCATCAAATATTTATCTATTGTTACTTGAAGGATAATGAATTTGTGTTTCCTGTAACTCTGAAAGGGTTAGCCTTGTTTTATTCAAACTATATTACTCACACACTCATCAAGAATGTTTTGATGCACTTCTCAAAGTTCACCCAGTGAACATTTCCAGTACTAGTAAAGAAAAGTTATACATGGATAGTGCCACCTTATAGATTAAGAAACTGAGAGGGGAGAGTTTACATTTTCACAGACCACAGAGAAAGGCAACATGATAATTTAACTGTCATCAAACTGATTCTGTGCTCAAGTCACTAGAGCATGTCTGCCATCACCTAATTTGGTCAGCCTTGGTTGGCTTTGGAGAAAAAGAATTTTCAAAGAAAAAAAATAACATTTTCATAATATTTTACTTATGGCCTTTGTTACAGCTTCCACAGTATTGTTAAGAAGTTAAATCTAAAATTCTTCCAGAGACAGAATTAAGCTCGCAACCCAGTGAAGCAGATAAATTCATCTTTACCGCTCTTAAAAAAATTTTTTGAGACATTTGATATTTTTAGATGTCTCTGACCAAGTGTTAAGTAAACTAAAAACTAAAGGAAAATTGCAAGTGGTTCTTAATATTGTATAAATCAAGTAACTTGAAGATAATGAGCAACTCACCTTTTACAAGGTTTTTTAGTATTTTTCTAACATCTGTTATGTAAAGAATTGTATCAGGTGAACATCACCAATTAGATCTCCTCTTCAAGATCAAATACTTTAAATCCATTTTTTGTAATGTTTGGAAGGAACGTGTTTTAATTGAATCATTTACAAATTTAAAAAATTAACCATTAGCTCAATCTAATACCAAATTTAGAGAAAAAAATTAAAAAGCTTAATTTGTGATTTCATAACCCATTAAAATTTGGTCCAAAAACTATTCTAGGTTTTATTACATAGTTAATGTCTTAGTCCTACTACTGAATGTTTTTAATATTATCATTTGAAATTAGAGATTAAAATGGTTCATTTCATCTTGCTACTCATCCTGTGCCTTTTAAAGGTAGAGCTATTTGGCTGGAAAAAAAGGAGGGGGTGTTTTTAAGGACTGCTGGGCCATCATAAATTAGAATCCTGAGAGATCTTTGCAGATCTTACACTGAGTTGACAGTGTAAGAAACAGGTGCCTGTTAGGTTTCTCTTTGCTTTGACAAGCAGGTGTGTGGTTTGCTGCTTTTGCTGATCCATCCAGACACTCAAGTTCAGACAAAGGCAATCCAAAGTTTCTGTCTTTTTTGTTTATTTTACCTAAGTAACTCTTATGAACTCCACCCAGGCTTGGGAGTCTGCTTGCCCAGGGATAATTTTACTAGGTACATTCAGTGGTATTTCAAACTTCAGAAGGATGACTTTGTAGAGTTGGCTGATACTCTTTTATAGAACCTGGCCTCGTCTCTCGAAACCTCCTGGAAGGCAATACCAGTGTAACCTATGTCTATTCAAAGTAGATGTTTAAGGGAGAGTAAGTCTCCAGTTTAGTGCATTTAAATTAACCTACTACTCTTACTCATTCTTAGACATATTCAGAAAACCATGTTTTGCTCTCAGCTGCAATTTGTATTGAACTGAGTCACATGGTGGGCTGTAGGAGAACGTGTGTAAAATATATAGAATGCTGGTTCTTAGTCTAAGGTCTGTGGACCTTCTGATTGTCTGTGAAAATTGTGTGTGTGTGTGTGTGCGTACAGTTGTGCATTTTCCTGAGTAGAAGTACCATAGTTGTCCAAAAATTCTCAATGCAGCAACTGATTCCAAAAGGTAAAAAAACATTGACATGGAGAGAATAATAAATGACTACTTGTCTTTGCTTTACTATCAAGTATAATAAAACATTGCAACATTGGCTTCTTATGACCTTTCATGATCACAACAAAGGCTGATTCTTAGGTCTTTTTTCCTCTCCTCAAGGTTACTGTGAGCCTTTCTGCAGGAGGTATTGCTCAGTGTGCCAGGCCCTTGAAAGCTATCTGGCAAGTCAGTTTTAGGGGCAATCAGAGCACTGGTGGCATACCAGACGATTTTAGAAGGCACCGGCATGACATTTAGATAAATTCAGCTAGTAATAGATATCCCCCTTGACATTCTTTTTTAGTTCTTCCGGTTATGGCAAAGAAATAGTACCAGTTGGCATAGGGATTATTTTACCACTTCAGGAACCCTCCCTAGTGTCTCCTTTCAACAGAAATAGCAGGCCTCCAGCTCAGTCTTCACAGGAAACTATATCTGGCAAGAATTTAATAACATTACTCAGTTCATGGTATTTCTTTTTATGATTATCTTCTATTTAAGGCAAATAATACTGGTTTTCAATTTTAGTTAATAAGAAAGTTTATTTTTAAATAGATGTATTTAATACTAAAAAGAAGGAACAACTTAAAGAAAAATATTTTTATTAGTATAGATGACACAAGGATATGACAAAATCATAAAACTGGGATGTAAATAATAGAAATTTGAGAAATACCAGACTAAACAATTGCTGATCAAGTCATGCTTTTATTTTTAGAGAGATTGACAATCTTTTAGAAAATTCAATCTATTTAGAATAAATCTTATAACCAGCAATAGCAATTTCTAGTAAGCGTTTCTGAAAAATAAGTAAAAATTGTGAGAGATGCCTTTAACATTAATTACCTAGGATGCTTTTAAATGCTTGTAATAGAAAACATGACTAAAAGTATCTTCAACAATAAGGACTGATTTCTAATAGTTCCAGCATAAATTCAGTCAGTGACTCAGTGACATCAAGGATCGAGGTTCTTGCCATATTTTCCTCTGCCATTCTTAGCATGTCAGTTTTGTCCTCATATTCATTTTCTCATGATCTCAAGAGAGCTTCCATGGCACCAGTCATCGTCCAACAATGACCAGATTCAGGAAAGTATGAACCTTTTGTCCATTTGCAGAGCAAAGGAAACCTAAAAGTTCCATTACTTGCCTTCACATTTCTCAAGCAAGATTGCCCCTGTATAAAATCAAACATTAGCAAGAAGAAAAGGAATTACACCAGGATTGCCTTAACCTAATCCTCATTCACCCACTGAGGCTAAGGAGGTATCAATAAAGAACATGGGCCTAATAACTGAACAGTATTGGGGTTCTCTTGGCAAGGAATTATGAGGGGAATGTCTGTTGGGTATTCAATCCACATTGTTTGCCATGAGCTTGCATTAACACAAGACTTTAACAAGTTGGGACATGCAGAAAGTCTAAGGATTAATATTGGAGAAAACTCTTATTTCAGTGTCACAAGTAATAGAAACCTGGGCCAAATAGACAAAATACACACAGAAGATGGAAGCTAACAGTTTTTTTTTAAGGGTCCAAATAGAGTAAACTCTCAAAAAAATTTTATCTCAGGGGTTTAAAAAACATTGATTGGTTGATAATCCTTCTCCCCTATTCTACCTGCCTCAGCTACTGTGAGCAGGAAAGGCCTGCAAGGGCAATCTCAGACCAATTTTAAAACTGGTTGTTGTTATTGTTTTTAAGAATTTGATATTTTTAAAAAGCTGCAGAGCAGACATCATGGGGAAAAAAAAGAACATTATTGGGCTTTGTTAGACATTTTTATTTTTTTAAATTTTAACTTACATGTGGAATATGTGGAGGGGCACCTTTATCTCACCTGTGCATAGGTCTTGTCTGTGTTTTAATCTGGCCCTGACAGATAGCTTTAGCTCCAGTAAATGAGATGGTCTATAAACCTCTCTCGAGTTACTAGTGTTATAAATGCTTTCTAAGCATAATTCTTGACTTTATTCCCCAGTCCAGAATGAATGGAATCAAATAAATGACTGAATTTGGATCTGGTCGCAGACATGAGGAGACAGGAAATGGCCATTCAACAAATATTGAAATATTGATTGAGCACCAAAAGGGTGCCAAGTTCTTTGTATTTATTTTGATTTTCATCCCAACAATAACTCTATAATACAGACATTTTTAACTCCAATTTTCAAGATATAAAATTAAGGGCCAAATAAAGGGAGTGATTTCTTAGAGTTTACAAAACTGGTAAATATGGAACAAAGATCTGAACTTGGGTCTTTCTGATCCCAAATCCTGTGTTCTTTGCGTTGAACTCTCCCGCCTCCTGAGGGTCTTCACAACCAAATACCGAAGGACAAAATCAAGAGGTTATGAAATGAGATCAAAGGTACAAGCTAAGATGTGGAAGAACAGAAAAACAAGAGTCAATACCAAATCTAGGCACAAACAGATATTTCACAACTACTATGTGCCGAGTGTAGAATAGAAAAGACGTTGGTATACCTGTCTAGACAGGATGGACAAGGGGAAGTAGGTCAAGAATCAATAGTGACTCCAAGATATGTGCTCTGAGATCTAAAGGGAGGGGCTTTTTATATGTTCCTTGGTGTGGGGTTAGAACAGGGAGTAGGTGTGGCTGGGACTTGGGGATAAACAGGCACACCTGGGCAATAGGAATGCAATTGGCTGGGTGGGGCTAGGGAAAACAAACTTGACGGTAAGTTTGCCTTTTCACAGCTAGGTGAGTTTTCCCTTACCTTATGCTTACCTGGATCTGGGGGCAAATTCTAGCTACCTAACTCTTAATTAACTGACAGACCTTTTCTCCTTGATCATAGCCCAAATAGTTCCATATTTTACATACGGGTAGAAGTTATTTTTATCTTGAATTTTAGTAACCAGAGTTTATTGGGGATTATTAAAGCTCTAATAGTGTTACCTTATTTGAGTTCCCTATGAAAAAATAATTGCTCAATTAGCATTTCTTCTGTTTCCATTCCAAAAAAGCTGGGCTATTGTCACCTGAGTTGTCATCTAGGTGTAGTGTTATCTTAGATATCTATCACTTGAAGGTTAAATACCATTATTATGTTTGTTGGCCCAGATGATATACCACACAGTTTCAGCTGTATGACTCATCTTGTGGAAAAGAATGTAATTTCTTTTAGTGTATCAACTCTAACCTGCCAATCTTCATAATGGCCTGCATATTTTTAACCAGGCCTTCTCATACTTACCAGTGCTACCAAGAAGACGTGGCAGTTGTCTGTATTTATCCAAATCTAAAGAATAACAATGTTAGTGCTGAGACATATTTTCAACTTGAGCTTACCAAGAGCCCATTTTAATTTCAACCCAAATCTGAATATACAACACAAAGTTGGGAAAATCCTGGAAGGCCAAACCATGCAACAGAATTTCCTGAGCCATAAAACCAATACTATACCCCTCCCCACCCCCTTTCTCTGAGAGTACAGAAAATGTAAACTACTCCATGTGCTATTAGACAAAGTTCAAAAGGTACGTTGATCAGTTCAATCCTAATGGTCCCAGGAAAGTACACATAAACTCATTTTATTAAATAAGTATTATTTACTAAGCATCCCGTGCCTCCAAAAACATTGAACTCATTTTTTCTAAATGTATTTTTCTGTATTTAAGCATACTTTGGAATTAGCCTGTAAAATTTACTGATGGTAGATTGCATTGCTTCTTTTGCAAAGGTAATATGAGTATTGTCTGCTTGACCTGGGAACAGCTCTATTGTGAAATAGCCAAAAAGCTCTGAAGCGGGAGTCAGAAGGAATCTTAGGTTCAAATTCTGACTCAACCATTTGATTCTATATTACTTTAGGCAAATTACATAGCCTCCCTAAATCTCTTCATCTAAAATATAGGGATAATAAATTTTACTTTAACAAGTGGTTGGTTTGAATCCCATGAGATGATGCAAATAAGTACTTATAACAGTGCATGACTCTGAAGGAGCTATAAAGAAGTGGTTACTTAAATTTAAAAAACAATAGACTCGGTCAAGAGTCAGAAAAAGAGTCAGAAAGGGAATGTACTTAAGATGTAGAGTGACTATTTGATGATTGAGAAAAAATTGAAGGTTTGGATATTTTGAAAATTCCATGTAAAATATACAGCAACCACCCTCCAAATACCAATGACCTCCATATCTAAATTTTCAGCCTTGGCCTCTCCTCCAAGCTTTAGACTCTGGTATCCAACTCCCCACAGGACTGGTCCATCTCAACATGTCCAAAACTGAACTCAGCATCTTATCCTTCAAAACTATTGCTATTTCTTAGCTTAGTGGAGTGTGCCCATAATTCACTCAGTCACAAAATTCAGAAATTTGGATGTCGTCCTAGAATCTTCCATCTCTCATATTCCACCCCAAACATCTAAATCAAGGCCAATAGATCTGTGGTTCTTAAACCTGGCAGAGCTTCAGAACTAGGGTGCTTTGTATAAATACGAAGCCCTGCCCCAGAGATTCTGATTCAGAAGGCCTGAGGTATGCTGTGGGAATCTACTTTCAAAAATAAATATACAGAACTTCCACAAAGAATCTGATACTCATCGAGATTTGGAAGCCACTGTTGGAGTATACCTTCCTACCTGATCTTGTATGTGTATCTTCCTCTCCATCCCTACTGCAGCTCCCTTACTTTAGATGCTCATAGCTCTCTTGAATACTAAAAGTCACTCCATTAGTGGTCACTGTGCATCCAGTCCCCCTAACCCCCACTGCATTTAATCTTCTAGTGCTGCCAGATCTATTTATCTGAATCCAAGCTTTAGAGAAAAACACATCTAAATTCAAATCCCTGCTTTGCTAATGACATGCCTATAACCTTGAGCAAATTACTTCGTCTAAGACTCAGTTTTCTCATCAGGAAAATGAAGATGATATTAATACCTATTAAATGAGATTTGGATGGATAGTATATGTAAATATCTTAATATAAGTACAGGGACTGGCATATAGCAAGCTATTAGAATTATTAAGCTAATATAGTTGTTGTTTTTGCTATTATGACACAAATCTATGTAATTCCTGTTTCATGTTCTCCTCCTGCTCCTAGCCTCCTTTTCAGTGAACAAATCCTAAGTTAGGCCTTCTACATCACAATTGCCTTTCTCCAACCTGGACCTCTAATAATCACCAGTCATGAAATATCCTCTGATATGGCATTTGTCCTTCCAGATTTCTTCCCCTGACTCACACCTGAGGCCTGCCCAGATTATACAGCTCAGCCAAGTGGAAATTTCTAGTTTGTGTGATTTGGTTCTTCCACTGCCCAGGTCTGACTTATCCAACTACCACCTAACCAGAGTTGGGTGTCCTGACTCTAAATAAAGTTAATAAACACAGTTCTCTATATGTTTTGTATAGGGCCCAATTTACCACAGATATATGGTATACAGTACATAATTATACTCTCCTCCCTAAACATAAAGTTCTTGCCTTAGCCAATACATAAAGTTTAAGCTCAGATAGAAGTAAAGAAAAGTAGACGCTCAGGTAAGCTCAGGTAGAAGTAAAGGGAACCAGTCTGAAGAGATGTCATTTTCTGGAGGTGGGCAAGTCTGGTGGTCAGATCAGCTAGAGTGCCAAAATTCTTTATCAGGGGGTGAAACAACCTGATTCCAGAAAGCCTGTGGCTGGGGGTATTTGAAGGGCTGTGGGAGGCAGAATGAAGGCCTCGGGAAAAGAGGTTAGCAGGACACAGCAACAACAACGAGGAGGAGGGTGCTAGCTAACTTTTACTGAGTATTCATCACAGATCGGGCGCTGTGTTAATTCTTTTACAAACATTTTCTCTAATTGTTACATCAACCCTTCAAGCGGTTGAGTACCAGATGGAAAAACTGAGTCTCGGGGGGGTTAAGAGACTTGCCCAAGATTACAGGGCTAGTAAACAAACCCACTCCCCTCAACCCGATTCCCCCACAGGGCCTAACCATAAGAGCACTAAAAGGGGGGATTTCAGCTCACTGAGCACAGCATGTCCCAGGGGCTCTCTTGAATCAATTTGCATACTGCACTCAGAAGAGCAGTTAGTTCCTGTTTCTTTAATCCCCAAGATCCCTCTCCCTTGGGCTGGTCGGACAGGACTGAGCCTGCTGGTTGCAGGTAAGGCTGGAGCAGAGAGGGACTTGGGTGATTCAAGTGCCACTAGGTTGGCAATACTAGATACTGGCCTAGACAGTATACTGGCCTTGCAGATACTGGCCTAGACAACACTATTCTCTTAAATCACATAAGAATTCAATCATAGATCCACTAGACTCTGCCCATCACAGAAAAGTAAATAACCTCCCCGAGAATTAATTTTGGGGAATTAATCCAAAATGTTCAAGACACGTGGCCTCAGTAGTTATAATAAAAAAAAAAAAAAAAAAAAGCCTAACAGCATAGGAATGAATAAGTAATTTTTGGCTCAAACTTACAAAAGCAGTCATTAAAACGTACATGACAAATTGTGCGTGACAACTTTGAAACAACACAAAATAGACTTTGACAAGCTAAAATTTAAAAAGGAGTCAAAATTATATCTACCATATGGACATAATTATGTTTTTGTTCAAAGCATAGAGAACAACAACAAAAATAATGCACCACAGTGTGAATGGGGGTTGACTCTAGTTGGTGGAAGCAGAATTTATACTGTTTATTTTTCTTCTTATTGACATTTTATGATATTTTTAATGAGCATAGGTTAATTTTCAATGCAAAAAAATAAATAAGCTTTGTTTTTTTAAAAATAAAAAGAACTAGCCTCCTGGAAAGTCCTAGTGCATTTTGGAATTGTTTCTGAGTCTGGCTCAGCCCACCTCCTATTTTCTTCATCGTGCAGCCATGATCCCATGACCCAACAGCCTGGTGGCCTGTGGTAATCAGAGCTGTTAAGTAACTTCCCTGAAATTTTGAGGGTTTTGCCATTTTCCCCACTACCTTATAAAGAGTCTTCAACAGGTTTTTGGCTTCATAAACTATCAGAAATCCATTCTTCCTCCCAGCAGTCCATTTTATTAGAATGATGTGGTGAAACACAGGACCACACAAGCAAGGGCTGGTTTTAATTGTTAACCATTCCCCATTGTGTTTGGTTTCTTTCTGCTCCCTGATGGGCTCCACTAGAACTCTTCTGTAAACTTCTGTTCCTTAAGGACTCCCAATCCAAATAGGGCCGCCTGCGCCCCTCCTCCACATTGTATCCTGAGCAGAGGTAGCCAGGTCACAAGCTTGCATCAACCGATGATGTTTCAGAATCCTTACCTAAGAAGGAAGTGGATGCTAGGTGATCATGGTGAACACAAAAATATCAAAGGATCCTTGTTACTGTCTTCCAGTGATGAGTACATTTTCAAGTTCTATTCCAAATACCTTGGCAGCCATTTTACTCCAGGGAGCCAGAGAGGGGAAAGTCTGTTCTTGCATCATTACCAACAGCTTGGGGAAAACCCAGTCCTTTCACATACAAACAGGGCTGGCTGCATTTGATTGCACAGAGCCAGCCAAATTGGGACTTCTTAACAGCTCATGCCTCTGACAGTTACTCAGCACCACCTCTGAGATTTAGTAGAGAGCGAAAAACACTCCAACAGGCCCCTTTCACACATGTAAGTGTGAAGTACACGTGGTTTTCCATACCTCCTATCAGCCTTGCTTTGGTGAAGAAGAAGATTCAGTCAAATTCATTTCCATAAAGCAATGCTGCTCTATATGACTCTACAGAAACCACATTAAAGGTATCGAGTGAGGGCTATCTGTATTACTAGAAAGACACTTTGACAAACAGTAGATTTTCAGAGTGTGATAAATGCAGTACAAGGCTAGATGAACCCAAGAAGATTAAGAAGAAAAAAAGCTGTAACAGTAGAGGAAGGAGAGGGGCATCTAAGGGAAAACGTAGATCTAGAGATGATAAAGAAAGGAGTGGGAAAAAAATATATAGGGCAAATTTCCATTCTGAAGAAGAAAAAGCACCCACTTTTTACCTCACTTTGGGTCTGCATCTGAGAGTATAAACGGCATTGAGGAGCCCCGAATCTTCCAACAGGACTAAATTCAGTTTTCCACAAGTAGTTTCCTCACCCAGTGCAGGAACCTTCACACCTTCTTTCAGCCTTCCTCTCTTCCACCCACCGATGAAATTAAATGATCTCCAATATTTACATTTTGCATTTACTTCTTTTTAATTTTGACAAAATGAATTAGAACTGAGGAAATTAAAAATGAAATCTGATACAAGGTCAATTGAAGACGTATTTTGCAGAGATTGACAACCACGTTGGTGGTAGTTGCCCCTGCCTCCTCAGTAAGGTTTGCATGATTGTGGCCTTTTCCAGCTCTCACCAGGGAGCCAAACAAACTCAGTAAAAATCAGCACCATTTATTAACACTCTTATTTTACCAGACTATGAGGTAGCCCAAAAGAAGAGTATACATGGCTCCTTCCCTTAAAGAACTGAGAATCTCAAAACTCTGCATACATAAGCCCCAGCTAAGATTTTAAAGGATCTCAGAGCTGGTTTACAGTAAGAAAATGCATATTCATCTGATAATGAAGAAAATATGGAAGGAAGATTAGTTGTAAGAAAACCCTTCAGATACTCCAAGATTTTCTGGTACAAAATGTAATCTATGGGAGCTTGTTAGAAATGTAAAATCTTGGACCCTGCCCCAGATCTCCTGAATCAGAATTAGCATTTTAACAAGATCCCCAGTATAGATACGCGTTTGTTAAAGTCTGAGAGGCACTTCCCTAAGACTTCTCAAGCCCCTTTACACCCCCTGTTCAAATTGAACACAATATGGCTTAAAATGTTGGATAGGTAAGAAAACATAGAGGCAGGTGTAGAGGCAAGATCAACTGTTGCGTTTTTTGTTTTTGGTTTTTTTCAAAAAAAAAATGAGGTATTTCAGAAAGTGCAACAAAATTAATCAAACAAGTACAGGAAGAGGGCAAACAGGGGTTTCAGTTACTGATAAGCTTGATATGAGTCAATTGACTATGGCTACCAAAAAAGAAAAAAAAATTGAAAAGCAAGCAAATACAAAAGCTAAAGACTGCATTAATAGAAGCATGGTATCTGGATCAGGAAGATGACTGCCCTACTCTACCTTACACTGGTCAAGTCTTATCTTAAGTGCATTCAGTTCAAGATATTGCAATTAAGAAAAATAGAGACAAACAAGAACATGTTCACTTGAGAAAAACCATGATAGTGAAATTAAAACCCTGACCTGGGGGAAAAATTGTTGAAGGAATTGGAGTTGGTAAATTCATTTAAGAAAGGTTTTGATGAAAATAAAAAGCTTAAAAATATGGAGGAAAATCATGTGGGGAAAAAACACTTGGTCTGTGGACAAGCATTTGAGAACCATTGGTTAAGATACCTGAGGACAATTCAAACCCCGGAAATTTGTCATTTAGGACATTATTGGATCTCCAAAGCATCTAATGCAAAAACCAACAAGGCAGAGAAGCAGGTATCATTCTCCTCAAATTACAGGAGAGCATGATCAATGATGGAGCCTGGTCTAGAACAAGGGTTTCTGAGCCTTTGTCCAATGTGCTTTCATTACCCAGCCTGCTCTGAAATTCCTACCTTGGTAATCATTACAGAAGTAAAGGAAGTAAAAGTGACCCCAAAAATTTATTTTGATTTTTTCTTCTACCTTATGATCCAAATACAGTTGCCACTAGCCTCAAGTGCAATAGTGTACCGACACATGGCTAGTGGAACTGAGAAACTGAAATTTTATTTTTGTTTAACTTAAGTTAATTGAAAAAATAAGTATAATTATTTTATATTAAACTAATATTTAATTCAGTTATTGGAAAACTTTAAGCATGTTTGAGGCATTTTGGATATATAAATTTAGTTTTTCAATATTATGAAATCTAAATATTATTTTCAAGGACAATTTAATATCCTAATTGACATGTTCTATATGTAGGTGGAAAATATGCCCCAGAGAGCAAATATGTACATGAAAGGAGATGCAAAACATTTCAGTATTTTACATATTTATTATATGTTAAAATGTTTTAGATATGTTGAGTTAAACAAAATATATTATTAAAATTAATTTCACCTCTTTCCTTTTACTTTTATAATGTCTTTATTAAAAACTTATAATGATCTGTGTGGCTCACGTTATATTTCTATTAGACATCCCTGTTCTATGTCATTCTGAAAAAGTTTGAAAAGGAACTCAAACCTCTTTCTCCAAGCTGAGGCTGCCAGTAGTTCACTTTTCTATCAAACATGCCTGACTTAAGAGGGAAAGATGCAAACTCTGCTGAGAAGAGCAAGATCTCCAGCATTGCTCCCTCATCACCCCTCCAAGTATTGCAGGGGTTTTAGTAGACCCCTTAGGAATGCATAGTTCCCCTACTGTAAGACAGTCTCAGACAGCGAAATCTGACATTTCTGGAATGTATTAAATACAGGGAGAAATCCCTTCTCATTCCTGCAACTTTATTTCAGGTGAGTGGTGATCCCTTAGGTGGTTCACCTCTTTTGCTGTTGCCCTGTCTCCCATTGGGTGTGACCGATCATAGAGGAGACCATTACCCTGTTCCATCCTCTGCAGGGGAAGCAGTAAAAATCAAGCTACATACACTTGAATGCCAGGAATGAAGTTTCAGAGAGCCTGGTTCTTCCCATCTCCTCCAGACTAAGCCCAAAAGCTCACAATTGGGAATTGTGGTTTGAGAAATAAGCTTGGAATACATCATTCCTTTCCTCTTCTTCTCTACCTGGCTATCTCCTGTTCATCCCAGTAAATTCTTCTTCTTTCAGTAAACATTTCCAAATCCCAACTGCTAAATTTCAGTGTCCTTTCCTCTATTTCCATCATACCCTGTGACTCCTTCTTTCATATTTATCACCACTGTCCACGTCAAAGATCTCCTAGAATCTCCTGAGGTGTATTTCCTCATCATTGCCTGACATTCTTAAGGTAAAGGCCAAAATGCCAAGGACGTCCTGACTTTTGAGAGAATCTGACTAGTTTACGGGCCTAAGGGTAAGCAAGGTGATGGCCTAGAGTATTTAACAGTGCTTCCCAATCCTCACATGCCAATTTCCTGTTTTTTTTACCATACCTGAGTTCCTCCAGAATTCTTATTAATATATCTTTCAATAGCTCATATTTTTCATTTAAATGTGTTTAAAGAAGAAACTTTA